TAAGCAGCGGTCACATCAGGTAGGATCATTAAGTCCCATGGGAAGTCAGTGAAGGGTTCTAAGAAGGTAGTAAATGATAAAATGTATACCCTAAAAAATCACCCCAGTTGATATTTAGAAAATGGATTAAGCGGAATGAATGGAAACAGACTTTATAGGAACCTACTGCTGAATCCTAGATGAGAGATATTGGCAAGCTGGTCTTAAGAGAGAAAAGAATGAATACGACATGTGTTTGGTGACAGAGTTGATGGGCATGACATGAGATTATGTTATGAGGAGGTAAAGGAGAGGAAGTATCAAAATGACTCCCAGATTTCTTACTTCAAGGGAGGATGATGCCAGGAAGAAGTACAAAAATCAAATAAATGGTAGAATATATGACTCATAATATCCAGTATAACAGTGGAAGGGACAATCACCTTCACACCTTTAATTTTACCTTTACTTCTCAGGATGGCAGCACTAGAAGTAGTGAGAAGTGGTTAGATTAGGGATAGATTTTTTTTTTTTTTTGCGGTACGCGGGCGTCCCACTGCCGTGGCCTCTCCCGTTGCGGAGCACAGGCTCCGGACGCGCAGGCTCAGCAGCCACGGCTCACGGGCCCAGCCACTCCGCAGCACGTGGGATCCTCCCGGACTGGGGCACGAACCTGTGTCCCCTGCATCGGCAGGCGGACTCCCAACCACTGCACTACCAGGGAAGCCCTAGGGACAGATTTTAAAGGAAGAGCTAACAAGATCTGCTGACATATTGTGGCAGACAGACACTAGGGTGGTCTTCATGATCCCTGCCTCCTGGTGTTCATACCCGTGTGTATAATATCCTCCCCTCGAGTGTGAGCAGGATCTATGACTTGCTTCTAACCAACAGAATATGGCAAAAATAATGAGATGTCATTTCCATGACATCTATCCTGCTAGCAGACTCAGGCCAGAGCCTCTCCTTGTGACCTGATAAGTAAGCAGCCATACTGGGGAAACCCTACCAATAAGGAACTCTGGGCAGCCTCCAGGAGTTGAGGTGGCCTCCAGTTGACAGACAGCAAGAAGCCAGGGCCCTTAGTCCTACAACCACCGGGAAATGGGTGAGCTTGGAAATGGATTCCTGCCCAGTTGAACCTCTAAATTAGAACACAGGCCAGGTAACACCTTGATTGCTGAGAACCCAGTTAAGCCATGCCTAGAACCCTGACCAGCAGACACTATGAGGTAATAAATGTGTGTTGTTTTAATCTGCTAAGTTTGGGGTAATTTACACAGCAACAGATAACTAATACATATACTGATATGGAGTGTAAAAAAACAAGAAGTCAAGGATGACTCTGAAATTTTTGGCTTAAGCCAAATAGAAGAATGGAGTGGTCGTTTACTGAGATAGGGACTTCTGGGGCAAGAACAGGCTTGGAGGAAAGATCAGTTTGGGAAACATGGAGTTTTAGATGCCTATTGAGATGTCAAATAAAGAGGTGGGGATATGGGAACAGGTGTTAAGTCTAGGATGCAGATATAAATTTGGAAGTCACCAGCATAAAGGCCAAGATATTACATGAGATCACCAAGGGAGTGAATACACACTCTCACAGAAGGGGACCAAGGACTGAGCCCTGGGGCACATCATCATTCAGAAGTCAGTTAGCTGAAGAGGAACCAGCTAAGGAGCCTGAGAAGGAATGGGCAGTTACAAAAAATGTCAAGGAAATGTGGAGTCCTGGGAACCAAGTGAAGAAACTGTTTAAAGGAGGAGGGAGAGACTAGTTTTATCGATGCTTGTGAAAGATCAAGTAAGATGAGGAATAAGAACTGAAAATTTAAAATCCACTCCTTAGTCACACTAGCCACATTTCAAGTGCTCAATAACCACATGTGGATAGTGACATGACAGTGTAAACACAGAGCATTTCCATCGTAACCAAAACAGAAACTGTCCACTGAACAGTTCTGATGTAAAGAAAGAGAAGACAGAAAAATGAGCAATATGTAGGTAATTGCTAAATGTGGTGGTGGGAGTTTGTGGAAGTCCTCTTTTGATAACCTTTATCTTTCAAAACAGAAATGGGAAACAAGGCCACTAGCTGAGCAGGAAAACAGGAGAAAATGTGGTGGAGATCTAAAAAATGAAAAGACAGTATGACAGCTGAGCAGGAGAATAAGAGATGGAATAAGAAAAAATTAATGAAATGTAAACTCCTGTGGGAGTTGGGATTGTTGGAGTTCACCCAATCTCTTGACTCTGTACATGCATATCTTTTGCCAAACTTGGGCACTTTTCAACTATTATTTCTTCAAATACTTTTTCATACACACCCTCTTCCTCCTCTTCTTCCAAGGCTCCCCTGGTGAACAGAAATGTTAAGATTTTTTGTTACAGTCCACAGGTCTCTGAAACTCTGTTCATTTTTTAAATGTTTTATTTTCTCTGTGTTGTTCAGGTTAAGGAATTTCTATTGTTCTATCTTCAAGTTCACTGATTCTCTCCTCTGTCCTCTCCATTCTGTTGTTGAGAGAACTGTTGAAGCATTTTTATAATGACTGCTTTAAAATCTTTGTCAGATAACTCTAATATATGTGTCACCTTGGTGTCAGTATCTCTTGATTGCCTTTCTCATTCAAGTTGAGATTTTCCTGACTCTTACCATGACAAATGATTTTCAATTGAAATCTCAACATTTTGGGTATCATGACATGAGACTCTGGATCTTATTTAAATCTTCTGTTATAGCAGGCTTCCTCTGACACCACCCCAGTGGAGAGAGGGAAAGTCTACTCATTACTGCTGTTGCTACCAGGCAGGGGTAGAAATCTAGGCTCCCCACAGTGTCTCCACTGATGTCACAGGGGTGGGGGAGGCCTCATTAATGCCTGGTGGAGAAGTAAATCTCAGCTCCCTATATGGCCTTCTCTAACCCTACCCTGGTGGGATGGGGGGTGGTGGTTGGAGCACCTCACTTTATCCTGGCATAAGTGGAAATCTAGACTCTATACTAACACTTTGCTAGCAGGGGTGGGGGTGAAGCCACAGTTCTTTCTGTGCTGTTTGTCTAAGGTCGAGTGGTTATTGTCTAAAAGTTTTCTGTCTTGCTAAGCTGCCCCGTTCCTGGTCCTCAGGCTAGAGAAAACAGGGTTTTCTTGGGGCTTTTTCAGTTTATACCTATTAACATTTCCAGACTGCTGATTTTTCCAACATCAAGTCTGAGATATATGAGACTAAAGGAAAACCCTTGGAACTTATCATTATGTCATTTGTGGGGTCTTGAGGTCCCTAATAAGACTGCCTTCTTCAGAGTTTTCTTATGTTTGTTTCATATATAATGTCCAGGTTTTTTAACTGTACTTATCATACAAAGAATAGGGGAAAATGACCTTCATTTATTTATGATTTTTTAAAATTTTCTTTTTCATATTCTATTTCTAAAGGAGTATCTTTTGTGTTTATTTACTCTGTGTTCCTTCTAGGTTTGTCTTTAAATCTGAAATTATTTTAGAATTCTTTCCTAACTTCTATCATCTCATTTCTGAATTTTTCTAGTCTTGGTTATATTGTTCTTTCATGTCTTTTATCATTTTCTTATTGTATGTTAGCTTACTTTGGAATACTAAGTTATAATTTTTGTCAGTTTTTCTATTATGCTTTCATGTTGAAGGGGTATTAGTCTACTTATTCTCTTCTTTTTTATAATAACTTTCTATGAGATTTGACCTTGATATTTTTTCTGTTGCTAAATTTTAATTTTTTTAATTTAATTTTTTTTTAGTTTTTAAAAAATTTTCCTGAACTCTTATAGGAGATGCTTGATTTAGCTAGTTTTTCTAGTTTCTCAGCTCACTAGCTCCTCTTCTGTTGTAGTGTAGTGTCCAACTATTTGGCACCTTACTTGTTGAGATTTCCTGGCTCTGTTCCCCTCTCAGACTGTTATCTGGACTTTCTTTCTCTGCTGTCCCTGTCCTGTTCAATTTGAATTCTATTCCCAGCAGCTTTTCTTCAGTGTGGGACTTTCTCCTACAAAGAGTCTTTGGTTGGTTTTTTGAGAGCTAATAAGGCACAAACTGTTCCAGCCCCTTCAGATCCTACTACAGATCCCTTGAGCTCATCCCCACTACTAGAACATGCAAAATCTTCCCAATTCCAGCTGCTGTTCTCAAAGCAGCTTGCTGAGCTTTCCAGCGGGTCTTTGGGTTTACTGCTGGTGGGCCCACTGCTCCCCTTTGCTTACTCCTACATAGATACTGATAGCACACCGGTCTTGTAGCTGTCAATGGTTTAACCCCACCTATTGGTGTGGATGCCTTCTGACCAAGTTTGTTATAGATGTTATCCATGTGTTTTTTATTTTGCTATCCTAGTTGTTCTCTGTGCTTTAATGACTATGCTTGGGGGATTCAGAAACTATACTATCACTGCCATATTTCCAGAATTCCTTAGAGAACAGAGGCTGATTTTTGACAATCTTCATTAGTAGAAAATGTTTAGAAAAAATTTCCAGGGCACAAAATCAGCACAACAGTAGGTGTTCAAAAATTTCTCCCCAAAGTCAAACTCCATAGCTAATACCACTGTGAAAATATACTCTCCCTTCAGGATGAGCAGCATGGAACCAGCAAAAGACCTTGAACCCTGGGAAGTATTAAAGAATGGCATAATTTCCACTAGCAAACTGTAAATGCAAGCCGTTTAACCTACAGAAATGTTAATTAAATTAAGAGGCAAAGCAATCCCCTATTTATATAGAACCTATTATATGTATCTAACACAAAATCTGAGAGACAGTGTCTGGAAAAGATGAATTATTCTTTATTACAGCAATGAATTCTTTGTGGCTCCCAATTTCAAAAACTAAGAATATGTCCCCAAAAGTCTAGAATACAACTACTAAAATACTAACAGAGATTTTCTTCAGGAATGCAATTACTAATGATTTCTTTTCTTTTTGCTTATCTCTACTTTAAATATTTTCAAAATGGAAAAGTAAGCTTCTTGTAAAAATTTTTAAAACAACTTACGCTAGAACCATGTTGTAATCTGAGTGGTTGAACATATATCCTCCAACAACCCACATTATATTTCCATTGACCACAGCTTTGTGAGAGGCTCTGGGGAGCTTTAGGTTAGAATATTCCTCTTGTGTCCAAAATGACTGGTTAGCTGGTACAGGAACTGAACATCCAGGACCTAATAAAACATAATAAATTAGCTTCACAAAATGCAGCTTTAAAATTACTGCAATTCAGGAATTCCCTGGGAGTCCAGTGGTCAGTGCTCTGCACTTCCACTGCAGGGGGCCTGGGTTCAAGCCCTGGTCAGGGGAACTAAGATTCCCACAGGCAGTGCAGCAAGGACAAAAAAAAAAAAAAAAAAAAAGAAAACTACTGCGTTTCAAGTTTGAATCATCTAAATACAACAAATTATCTAAAGAATATTTACAGTCTTTCCTTTAGCATCTAAATATCAGACATATCCCTTTAATTTGTGCTTTCAATTTACTCAAAGGTAGTGACCAAGGGTAATCTCTAATAAAATTCAAAATCACACACTTTCTAATGAAGACCTGACCATATCTAGGTTAGGATTTTTTAGTAATG